TATACAAAAATTCTGTGTGTCTCCTGGGGGCTAAGCCCCCCTTGTCCTAAAACCTAGTGGCACCCCTGGTCCTGGTGTTGTGTGACATGGTTTGTGTCATGTAGCTACAGCTGTGATACATCGTACAAGTGTCAGAATGATACATGATATTTATATGATATATGTTTTACGTCACATGCAACAGCAGTTAAATTCACTTTATCCAGGAGGCACAATATACAGTATCTGTTTTATTTTTGTTTTGTTTATTTTTATTGAACAATTAAAAGCCAAGCCAAAATGAAATACTCCTTAAAATTTTCACCTAAAAATAATTGCTCCAGTAAAATTTAGATAAACTTTTTTTTCTAACGTACTTTCAAGTAAAGGAACAAAGGATTTGTACTTTAACATGTCTGGTAGTTGAAACTGATCTTCAGCTTATACTCTAATTGTGCCAACTTACAAACTTATTGAATCGACTTGTCTGTTAGCAAAATATCTCCTCAAACACTGGATAGATTTAAATACAATGCTCAGAATGATGCAGCTTTGGAGCCACCCTGGTTCAAGTTGTTTATCACAGCTGGATCATCCAAACTTTGACATTATCTATAGAGTCCAAACAGACTGTTAGCAAAATATCAACACAAAACACTGGATGGATTTAAAWGAAACTCCCATGAAGTGATCACTGGAGCTCACACAGTTTCCCTGTATTTGGTTGAAAGTGTTCCAAGTATTTATTTCTGAACTCTTCCTCAGTTCAAACATTAGTATTGTTGTAATATGAACTTGTTTTCTGTGCATTTTTTGATGTCTAAAAGCACTGCGTCTTTGTCCTCATTTTGACCATTTCTCATYTTCTGCAAATAAATACTACATTTTTAACTTAGAATTACAGAGACATGTTGTCAGAAGTTCATAGAATAAAATAACAATGTTCATTTTACTCAAACAAACCTATAAAGAGTGAAATCATAGAAACTGATCATTTTAAAGTGGTCTCTTTACAGAGCCGTACATCTGCAACTGGTTCACTTTTGGAGCCACAGCTAAGCAGCAAATACAGAAATAACTCCGAGTCATTTTCACAGATATTGAGCTAAAATTTGGTGTGGTAGTAGCTGAGAGTCCCCCTCAACACRTAACTGAGCACAACAAACAAATATGAACAAATATCACAAGATCTCATAATATCACAGATGGCACAAAACCTCTTTTCYAAGGTTTGACCAAAACTGCTCCAACGCAGTTCTTTCTTCACAGTAACAATAAAATAATGAGATGATCTGAAGTCAGCAGGTGAGCGTTTCTTTAAGAAATCCTTTCATTTAAATCTGAAGTCTTCTTGCTGCATCCTGCCTGCTTATCTGTTCAAATGTCGACGTGTCGGAAGCGTCAGACTGCTCCCAGTGAACCTTTGCTCCTCTCCACTCAGCAGGAACACATCTCAGAGTTTTATAAATGTATATTTAGATAAAGGGAGTTGTTGGAAAGAAAACAAAGAGCAGCTGATTATTTCTCAGTCGAGTGTTTCTGCTTCCACACTGATAACATCGACTCGGACTCCTGTAGACCTTCTGACCTAAATGTTGAAACAAACAAGAACAAAAAAAAGGTTTATTAATGTTGGTTCTGATTTAGCTTGTTTTTCTATTATACGTTGTTTTTATTCATGTTAGTTTCACGTACTTTAGTGCTGTTTTTACCATTCATGAGTCAAC